TATAGCTTAGTTGTTTTTCTTTTCTCCCATGCATCTAAACAAATGTCCAAATAGAAGTCCTCTTCCAAATAGCATGTCTGCATCTTTTGCTTAGCTTGAATTTGCAATCACCCAAGTTTATTTTGGAGGACACAATTGTTTCTCAATCTGGATATATATATCAAAGAAAAAATGGAGAAACGAAAAGAGAAAAGAGAGACTGAGGGACCGAGAGTTTAGTCATACTGCCAAGCTCCATTTTTGGATACCCTTTGTCTATTATTTGGCATTATTTTGAATTTGCACTGCATGTTTTATATATAGTAACATCTGTTTGGTAGAGATGCAGAGAATGAACAATATTTGAATTAGTAGCTAAAGTGTTTTTTACAATCAATACAATAAAAATAAATTATTTAATAAAATATCCCATTTAAATGGGTTCGACTGGCTAACACAGCAGTAAGCAGAAAATACATGTAGTTAAAAAAAAGTGTGGTCTCCAAATAAAAAAATGTATTACTGCTAATGCCTTAATAGAAAACAAAATACATATTTGATTTCCTTAGGATGATCTTTAAGAACAGTTGTGTTTAAATATGCGTATTTATGATGATGAAGCTGAACGTACAAAAAACATTCTTTGTGTGGGGTTTTGATGGCAGGCTAAACAAGCTGTTAATGAGCTTGGACTGATCTACATAAACACAAAAAGTCATGTGGTGCAACAGCATTAGTTGCAACCTTGGGAATTGGGAAAATCATTTTTCGTTGTTTTTTAATCTTTTCCTTTCCAAGGAACAAAGTTAATACCTGCAGCCCTGTTATTCTTTCTCACATTTAATGGACTATAGGTGACTGGTGAAAAGAAAAGTTACACAAAAGAAAAAAAAAGACAAAGTGAAAAGTGCTTCAGGCAGTGCAAGGAGAAACACTGGAATGTTGTTGGTGTTTGACATTCCTCTCTCTCTCTCTCTCTCTCTCTCTCTCTTTCTTCCTTGTTTGCTTATTCTTTTCTGTTTCACACTCATGCACAACTTTTCTCCTATATCTTATCCTCACCTTTTACTTTAGAGCAATTGTGAACATCCACGGTAGCTGAGACTGCTCTGAGCACTGATCATGGCCTGTTGTATATGCACAGTGTTTCTTTCTACATGGCAGGACATCATAGTAGAGAGCCTTTTGTATCTTGATGACAGGTCGGGTTGAAGTGAACACTTGCTGCAGTGTCTCGTCTATAACACTAGAAGAAAATGCATCTTTCATTGTTATGTATTTGGACAATTTGAAGTTTATTAATCCATAAAGCTTCATGAGAAAATGTCTTTCATTTATAACTTTCTGAATACCATTGGGAGACATTTGCTTTTTGCCATAAAAAGTATCATGCACTTCCTGTATTTTCACATTAAGAGCCTGTCAGATGTTTGCTGTCATGCCCAGATTCTTAAGAAAGCGTAGGTTACGTCTGCGTGGCACACGACGTGTATGTGACCCCACGGATGTGGGTTTAGGATGGTTGCATAAATTTGCCCAGTGCCGACTGCTGACATGTGTGTGTATCTATTTGTGTGTGTTGCACAAAATTTGACAAAGGGCAGGGATTGTGCTGCAGTGGTTTAGTTGCATCCAATCCAAGCTGGGGCCTGGTGTGAAATGTGATTTATCTGCATGGTGTTTCGCCTTGTGTTTCCAAGACAAAGATATTTATTGAGCTGCCTACAATACTGCATTATTTACTGACCACCAGCACTACTTACTGCCTTGTGGCTGTGTTATTTATGTGGCTTAAAGCACTTTCTTTGTTTTGACCTACGGGGTTTCCTCTTAGTTTCTTTATCTCTTCTTGCACTCTTTAGTGTCCTCATCATGTCCCAGATTACATGCAGTGTAGCCTTCTCAACCCTTTTGATTAGTTGTGTAGTTGAAAAGCTAGATCTCCATGTGTTTCTGTCCAATGCTTGCAGGATTTGGTGGAAAGTGGTAAATAACTTTCAGAATTTAAACTTTCCGTGTATCAGTGCCCTCAAAGTGTGACCCTACTTTGGTCAAAACCCATAGATGCACAGTGTTGATGATGACGATGATGATAATGTTGAAAAGCATGGCTTTTACCTACCATACCTGCAAGATCAGTT